CACATCAAATAAACAGTTAAGAAAAGTCGTTCTTCAACCTCCTAAAAGCAAAATTATTCAGACAGTAACATTTATTCAGACAATATAAAAGCAAGTTTAGGTAAATCAGTCATAATAAGCTGGTAAACGAAAGAAAGTAGTGTAATTGCCGTATAATCCTTTTAGTTTAAGTAGTCTGGTTATAGACCTATCACCCATATGTCGCAGAGAGTATTTGCAAATAGTGCAAAAAAAGAAAAAAAAAACATTTGAGATAGTAAATATGTACAGCAACTAGAGAGAGAAATTTTTTTTGCCTGCAAACAAAAAAATCGTAATTGTTCACCTTTCGTTTCGGTTAAGCCTTGCTCCAAGATAGAAAGCCACAGAAAGCAACCAGGAATCACTATGTACAGCAACTAGAGATAACCAATCTTTTCTGTTCATGCCATCCCTAGCAAAATTAATTCCAAGTGCAGGCTCAGGAAGCTCCGGTGGAACCTCTTCTACTGGAAGAACCACTTCCCATGTTTCATTGGGATGTCCATAAAGGCACAAATTTTCCTTATCTGAAAAGGTAGAAATCAAAGCGAAAAATATATGAGACGCATCATAAAAAGATAGTAAATCCCTGCTATCAGAGAAGAAATTAAATTAATAGAAAACCAATCAACACATTACGGTATGCGACAGTTACTGGTTAATTGAGATACCGTAAGTGTACGAAAAAACAATTCCAGGATCTGGAAGCAAGGATCAAGATCACAAAAAATAAATTTCGAATTCAAGGAAGAAGCGTCCAATCTGAAGCAGTTGCCAACGCTAAGTCATTAAACGAAATTAGAAAATAATATCTCAACTCATCATGCATCAATGGCTCGTTAAATTCACCAGCAGCAAGAAAATTCACATTTGACGAAACAGTAAACATCGTACAAAAATCATATACAAACAAACTCCGCATAATTTACAATTACGAATCACCTGGATCACAGAGGCCGTAGAATTCATCCACATCTGACAAGAAGAGGAAAAAGAAAAGGAAAATCAGTGATCTCCGAGGGAAAAAGAGTAAAACAAAGAAGAGAAAATTGAGAGGGAGACAAGACCGTGAGCGAGGGCTCGAACAAGAGCGGCGCGGCGACCGCTATAGTCTTTGAAAATTTCCTCGACGGTTTTGGGAGTGGTGGAGGGCATTTCCATGGCGGAATGGAGATCTGAGAGCAGAAAGTGAAATCGGAAGTCACATGAAGAAATGGAAATTGGGAGAGAGATTGGGAATGAATGGAGGAAGGACTAATGCATGAGTTTGGGAAAGAAGAGCGCGGGACATTCATTAGTCATTTCTTCATTTGATAGAACTAATCAGTAAATTTAAAATTTATTACATAATTAAATGTTTTAAGGTAAAAGTGTATAAATTTAACAAATAATATTTTGCAGAAATATGGCAGCAAAAGGAAAGTAGATTTTAGAACGCGGGCCTAAACCTTGTAAGAGCCCGCCCTAACATTAATGCTAATATAATATTACATATGGTGAGTTCCACGATTTTAAAATGAATTTCAAAATGTTTCTACAATAGAGAGGGTCTAGTCAGTTTCAAGATTTTAAAATGTTTCTACAATGGAGAGGGTCTAGCCCTATTCCGACCACTGTCTCGCACCATTCATTCGATGACAAATTTTGATATCAGGATTCCTCTTTTCAATCCGGCATGGAATCCTACATTAACCCTAAGATGAAAGATTATAAGCAAATCTTAATTGACCTGTCACACAAAGGAAATTATGGACCAAAACTTAACATGAACAATCACTATAGTTGCCCAACCATGAACATTCCAATTGATTTTTATTTTTTGATTTTTATTTTTATTTTCCAGGCACCTAGAGTGTATGCCCAAGTACAAGACCCAACTTCAATAAAATGGTTTAAACCACAAAGATTTAGATTAAATTACTAATTTAGTTGCAATCTCATCCATTTGATCTCTAAATTTTCAAAAAACATATAATAATTTGGTATCTAATAAGACCTCAAAAAGAAAATATATATATAATAATTTTGTATCTAATAAGACCTCACAATTTCAATTATGTATATAATTTTGTATCCAATAATTCTCAAAATTTTATTTATTTATTAGATATAAATTTAAATTTTATGTGTAACAAAAAAAAAAAAATCTAAATATTTAATTTTATGTGTAATAGGTAAATATTTAAAAGTATCTACCCATAAAAGTTAAAGAAGGAGATAGAGCCAAGTTATACAAATGTTTTAAAATTAAATATAAGAAGGAAAACAAAAGCAGTCCAATAGAAGACAAGAACCAGAAGAAATGATGCAGCTTCTTCCACGTCATGAATGCCTACATCTACTAAATGACAAGGAAGCGATGTGCGTTAGTGGGTGGGTGGGTGGGGGGGGCCTTGCAGGAGACATGTAAGTATATTATAGTTTTCCAGCTACACCACACCACCCACCACCACCAGACATGACAATTGCAATAGTGAAGAAATCAAACATTCATTCAATTTCAAGCTCCTAAACCACCGTCATTCATTTATTAAAGCATGAATTTACTTCTCTTCTTAGATTACCTATAGCAAGGAAAGGAAATGATATATACGACCAGTAGTAGTAGAATGAGTTAGTTACCATCTTTCATGAAGATGTTAGTAACTCATGGATGCCCATTCTTTGCTCTGAAGTCAGTTCCACCGGGAACTTCACGTTGAACTTGATTCTCAAATTCCCATGCCTCGAAGCTTCCTTGGGAATTGGCATTCCTTCTCCGATCACGACTTCTTCATAAGTCGGCCCAACGATTGAATCGATTGGAATCGTTAGATTCCGTCCATCAAGAGTTGTTAGATGCACAGTGTACCCTGTTAGAGCTTCAACCAGAGAGATATCTTGGGTGGTAATAAGATCGTTGCCATCCCTTTTGAAAACTCTATGAGGTATCTCATCAAGGGTAAGAACAAGGTCCGAGGGTATACCTCTTGGTTGCTGATCTCCTAATTCTGGAAAGGTAATTTTAGTTCCCTTCTTCCATCCAGGCTTGATGTCTACTGTCAAGATTTTCTCCACTGTAGTAGGTCTCCTGTACAGAATAGCATCATAAGGTTATAAAAAACACACAAATTTATAACTATGAACATTGAAACCTCCTCCCCAATTGATCCAAAGAGAGTTGACCAAGTTCACACCAATAGGTCTCAAGACAAGAATATACGAGCCCACGAGGAATTTCAGACTTTTCCCAATCCCAAATGGTTCTTTCGTTTTTCACATTTCAAAATGTCCAAAGAACAATGGGGGATTAAGCCAGTAGGCCATGTAGACTTCAAAGAGAAGTCAGGTTTAAATTGAGGAAAGGAGCTTAGCTTGCTTTCTGACCTCCAAGGAGAAAGCAAAGAGTGTTGTTTGTGCTTAACCAAAATTCCATGAAAATTATGAACTGCGGGGCCAGATTCTAGTGAAAATGAAGATTATCTTGAATCTCTACTTCAGCTTTGCAAATGATAGAGCACTGGGAGAGCAGGTTAGCATATGTTGGATACTACCTGGGGTTGTTTTTACTCCCATCAGAAGCTCCCACATGAATTTTTTTTGACTTTCTCGGAGATCTTTCCAAACCCATTTGCACAAGATAGGAAAAAAAATTTCAGACGCTCTTGGAAATATCAAAGAGGAAATGTTTGCAAGGAAAGATAAAACATTAGAAGAGACTTCAATTTTTCATTTTAGGCAAGTAACTCTGTTTTTATCCAATGAATACAAGGAAGTGTGCATGCAAAGTTCTCATATAGATTAACAAGGATAGAAGCCTAATCACGAGAAAACAGATAGAGCATCACAAAAAGTCGATCAACATTTCAGAAAAATATCAAATTCAGGAATTGGGTTTAATTAGATTACAAATAAATGAGAGATCCTAAAAGTCTAACTGAATAAATCTGTAGAGACTAACCCCATATTATCCAAGGCATCCTTAGCAATCTTCATCTTCTTCACACAGCCCATGAAGAGATCTTCTAAACTACACAGCAGAGTTCTCTCTATTGCAGCACCTTTCCTCGTATAACTAGAGGCCCCACCAGCCCCAGGTCTTAGGGAAGCAGATACATTATCACCAAACAAACCCCTTGGAAATCCATAAGCAGCAGCACGAGGGTCACTCATGTGGCTCATCCCTTCAAAGGGGCTCGGAAAACCGAACAATTCCGAAAATAAATCATTGGCACTTCTCGAGTTACGGCAAAACTTAGTCGACGAACCATGGCTAGTATAGCTACTGCAAGAACCATTTGGCAATGGCGTTTGCCCCTTCAAATACTCCTCTCCTAACTGATCATACACAACTCGTCTTTGAGGATCACTCAAAACCTAAGTAGAAACAGAAAGATTAAACGATTCAATTATGCATCTACGCACAGGCTAACATTAAATGGGATCGTGGAATAAAATTCAGATCAATGCGAAATTTCTATAAAAAAAATTCGAGTGGATTGTTACACTACATATCAGAAGAATCGCACATCTTACATCATAAGCCTCCGAAATGTTCTTGAATTTGGCTTCGGCGTCCCTTTTGTTGTTAGGGTTCTTATCTGGATGCCACTTCATGGCGAGCATTCTGTACGCTTTCTTCAAGTCATCGTCATTGGCATTGCGATCAACCTGAAGAATTTTGTAGTAATTAACGCCCATCGTTCCGTCGTCTGGCCAGGAGTTGCAAAGACCTTGAACACAAATTGGACTGTTTACACTTATATAGTGAGTAAAATATATAAGATAGTCCAATTTTTTTGTAGTGTTAAATTATGACGCTATAATTTGAAAGATTCAATTTTATTCTCCAATTATAAAATTTGATAAAATAAAAATGTTACTATTATTAATATAAAAAAAAATAACAATTCAATTAAGAGCTTAAATAAATTATTTAAAAAAGAAAAAATTATCAATAAATTGGAATAAGAGGATGAATATTAATTAAGTTATTTTAAGAAAGGAAAAGTAAGAAGCAGGCGTTCAAGGCGAGCCATGGCGGCAAAATGGAGGTCTGCGCGCCGAGGTCTCTGCAAGTTTGGCGATCTTTGATGGGCTGGCTCTCTTTCATTTCTCCTATAATTGTTCAGATCGTGCATGGTGCTCCTTCTTTGGCTTAGGTTTTGTCCTGCGTTGGTGTTAGATTCCCTCTTCTTGCCTCATCTGCGCCCTCTTTCAAGCCCTTGCCCGATGCTTAGCTTCCTCTTCATCAGTTTTCAGCAAAGAAAGTTGGCTCTCTCAGTGTTGTGGATGATCGTGGAAGTCAAGGTCTCCCTTGGGAAAAGATTACGGTAACGTGCGTCGTGTCTTCTTCTTTCCTTTTATAATTTTGAAGAAATTTTGAGGCTAAATTGACGATTGTGGACATTGTAGAAGTACGAAGATGAGGCAATCTTTGTCGTCGAATTCTTAGATGATAGAGCGTCGGTATCGGTACGTGATTTCCTAGTTTAGATGTTATTTTGAATTGAATTATAAATTCCGTTGGTTATGGACTTCCACCGTATTTCTTTTAGCTATCATTGCTATCTATATTCGGAGACCTGTTGTTAATAAGGTTGGGATCAAACCAAGGTTAGGTTTATGCATTTGCCATGCTAGTGTTTTAAATACTTCAATTGCTCATTCAGGTGGTTCTTAATTTGGATGAAACCAGGGTTTGTGCATATGAAGCATCCAGTTGCCAGCCGTTTCTGGCATTCAAGCAACAGAAGCTGGATTTAATTGGTCCGAGCTGGAATGTGTATCCTCGGACAAGGTACCTCTGGATTTCTCTTTCTAGCTTACAGTCTTTTGAAACTTTCCTTGAAATTTATATTATTCATCAATTAATGTTGGAAGCTCTGTTGACGGAATGTGAAGGAAAACCAAAGATCAGTTATATGACCCTATTCGAACGTCCTGGATTGCATGAGTTCTTGAGCCAGGCTATTGATTTTCCGAACGTATATTACTCACTGCTGGTCTTGAAGGTTTGACATTGATTAATCGGTCTCTTTTGTGACTTTCCCCTTGTTATTCCATTGTCATATGTGGTCTTTTGCAGATGTACAGGATATGCTAGACCGCTGGTGACAGAATGACCGGAGGGAAAATTTAGCCTTCCGACTTATCGGCCATCAACAGGTAGCGTGTAAGTATTTCTTCTAATTAGCAGGAATAATATTTTTAGCGTAAAATAATTTACCTATATTGAGTTCAGTGTCTGAGATTTCTCTTTGCCTGGAGTACAACTCAATTAAGGAAATATTTCCCTTGATGACAGATTTTGTGTAAAGGTTTTGTCCATGATTTTGGCTTTTACTTATCAGAAGATGATGTTGAATTGAAGACTTCATATTTAGATTCTAAATTTGTTGATTCTTGGCAGCATCTTTTCATCCGTTCCCTTCAATGCCATACTTCGATTCTAAGTTTCTACTTCTGTTCTGGCTGTTAAATATAGAGCTGGGATATGGAAATGAAGATTATCAATTCAGAATTTTTAGGGTTCTTTTTTTTTTTTTTTAATTGTAAAAGGTGTCTTTAAATTGCGGAGAATACAGAGAACATGTAGAAAACCTATCATTTATGCAAAGAAATCTCTTACAAATTGTTACTATTGACAACGACCCTTTTAGCTTCTTGCTGCTACCATTGAATGGAATCCCATGCCTTCCATTATCTCCAGCATAGCCTTCTGATAATCAGGTTGAAACTTCTCTTCTAATAATGGTTTTTTCAAACGGAATTACGGATGCTCCATTCTATTAGATACACACTTATCCTTTGCTCTGTTCAGTGCCTTCTTCACCTTTTAGAGGTCTTCCTGTTGGTGACCCTTCAACACTTCCTCCCTCTCTTCAAACACCTGGCCCTGGGAAAAGACGTCAAACCCATTCTGTATGAAAATTTTCACATGCCTGAATGGTTTCAGATTCATGGATATCCTTTAGCACAAGATTTACGAGACGGATAGTAGCTAGCATGTCCGAGTGGATCATGCTATGAAGTCAGTCTGCACAATCTTTCCACTTGGAGCTTTAGTAGATGAAGTAAGAAGAAATTCATGAGATCTGTCCACATTGTATGTTATTTCCATCTTAGGTTGAAATAAGGTCCTTCGCAAATTGAATACCATATTCCTGTTTACTTAGTTTATTTTAGTATATAGTCCAACAAAAATTACAAGTCCTGTTATCTGGGCAAACAAATGGTCATTGCATGAACTCCAGTGGGCTGATTCGTGGAAAGGAAAAGGCCCATAAAAGGTTCTCAAGGAGGAAAATAAGGGCCTGTTTGTTTGGCATCTTTTTGAACAGAACGGAAGTGACAGCGATGGCACGTTTTGAGTAGCAACAGAGAAGTTGCCATTTGGCATTGGATAAGTTGAGACTTGAGACCGTAAGGAGTGAAGCGATGGCGGTACAGCTCACTCATCTTTACGGTACACCCATAAGGCAACGACCAACGTCGCCGCTCACCGGGCGGAGGACCGCCATATCTCAGGTGAGAGCCGTCGCCGAAAATGCTCAGGAGCTCCTGAAGTCCGGCGAGGTTCAGGCAATTAGGCCAAAGGAAGCAGTGACGACCATAGATTCGGAGGGGTTTAGACTTTTGGACATAAGACCGGCATGGGAGTGGGAGAAAGCTAGAGTGAGAGGGTCAGTGCATGTGCCGCTGTTTGTGAAGGACGAGGATAATGGTCCTATTGGTCTTTTGAAGAAATGGGTGCATTTTGGCTACATTGGACTTTGGACTGGCCAATACCTGACGACCTTGAATCCTGATTTTATTCGTGAAGTGGAGGCGGCTGTTCCTGATAAGAACGCCAAGCTCCTTGTGGCTTGTGGCGAAGGGCTAAGGTGAGATTTTTAGTTTTTGCAATTCAATCCACTCTTAGTGGCTGATTTCTTGTGGCTGCAGGCTGCCAACGTTTCTTCGGCTAATTCCTTAGAACTTCAGTTTTGGAAGAAACGAACACTAAGGATTGGTAATTTTGTGCCATTAGATACAGAGAAAAACTAGGAAATTGTTATTTGATCAATATATTTATTTCTTACTTTTTAGCTCCTACATAGTCAATAGTGGTGGTCACATTAAATAATTTCTTTTTTCGTTTTAAGATAACCCTCAGTGTAGAAATACTTTTTGCTTTTAGTGAATTTGCAGAATAAGGTACTCTTTAGACTTACCTTTGGCATAAAGAAAGGTTACTTTTTAAAATATAAAGTTGAATAAGAATTTTGGATAAAACGCCATTTTGTCTTTGGCGTCTTATCATACAAGCTTTAATGTGTATCTTTAGTACATGAACTTCATAAGAATCTAAGTTGTTTGAAGTTTAAATTTTTGTTTAATTGTTCTTAAACTTCTAATTTTGTATATTTCAACTTCATTTGAAGTATTCAATTGAACACTAGTTGAAGCGATAGAATATCTACATACATGTTTGGATGTTTATGTATCAAACTTATAATTTAACCTAAGATCTCTGTAATACCGTAATGCAAGGATTGGAAAGTATAATGTCTATATAGCCCTTCCTGCCCACTGCACATTTTCACAGAGTATAAACACAATATGTAAATATTTAACCTTAGGGTGAATTCTTGTCTTCTTGGTCAGGTCTTTGGTCGCAGTGGTGAAGTTATACAAAGAAGGATACAAGAACTTAGGGTGGCTGGCTGGAGGCTTCAATCGTGCCAATGAGAGCGACTTCCCGGCCGTCGAAGGGCCGGAGAAACTACAATACGCAACAATCGGAGGAGTTTCTTACTACTTCCTCCAATTGCTTATCCTCTTGCAAGCGGTGGGTAAGAACAGCTGAGACCATCCATATTCGCTTCTAATTCCTTTTTTTTGTACAATTTCTCAATTACATTGTTCTGAATCGAAGCTAAATAGCTTGAAGCAAGTTGAAGGAATGCATGTAGGGATTGTTGTTATAATCTTGAGAAATCCAATACATTCAAAGGTGTAAAAAATCCATAAATGAAACACAGAGGATTGTTGAAGTAACATTATAACTGAAGATGTTCTAGAAGGAATAAAGAGGGGATTTGAAAGCAATTCAATCCAACAGGAAATCGAAGTCCTTATAGCTATTAGTCGTAAATTGCTAGAAACTATAAGTTCCCAGATCCAACACACACAGAATCCCCGGAGAAGATAACCTACTCCGATCTACTGGCGAACCTTTCAACCTTGTCGTTCAAGTTCAGCCCGACCATTGCCTCGCCGAGCCCACAGCTCACTTCCGCCAGCACCTCTGGATCGTTGTAATGAGTAACGGCCTGGACAATCGCTCTGGCTCGTTTCGCTGGGTCGCCGCTCTTGAACACACCGGACCCGACGAACACGCCGTCACAACCGAGCTGCATCATCAACGCTGCATCGGCTGGCGTTGCTACACCACCGGCGGCAAATTGAACTACCGGGAGCCTCCCAAGCTGCTTCGTCTGCAGCACCAAATCGTACGGCGCAGCAAGCTTCTTGGCGAACGTGAAGACCTCATCGTCATCCATGTTCCTCAGCAGCCTGATATCCCCCATCACGGACCGCACGTGGCGCACCGCCTCAATGATATTGCCGGTGCCGGCCTCGCCCTTGGTTCTGATCATCGCCGCACCTTCGCGAATGCGCCGCAGCGCCTCGCCAAGGTTGCGGCAGCCGCAGACGAAGGGAATGCGGAAATTGTGCTTGTTGATGTGGTTTTCTTCATCGGCGAGAGTAAGCACCTCGCTCTCATCCACGTAGTCGATACCAATGGCCTCCAGAATTTGTGCTTCAACGAAATGACCGATTCGAGCCTTCGCCATGACCGGAATCGTGACGGCTTGTTTGATTTCCTTAATGAGTTGAGGGTCGCTCATTCTGGCGACGCCGCCTTGGGCTCGGATGTCAGCGGGGACTCGTTCAAGGGCCATGACGGCGCAGGCTCCGGCCTCTTCAGCAACGCGAGCCTGCTCGGCGTTGACGACGTCCATAATGACGCCGCCGCGGAGCATTTGAGCCAATCCGACTTTCACGGAGAAGGGGGATTGCTTTGTCTCGGTGAGAGCTCCGTTCCCGTACACAGCTACAACTCCAGATCCTGCCATTTTCGCCGGGAAATGAAACTACAGGGAAACACTGAAGACCGGAATTAGGAAAATCCGCAGTAAGGCGTCGTATAAGAAAGCGAGAAAGAAGGGTGAGGATTCAGGAAATGACGAGAAACTGAGGCAGAGAAAGCTGCTTTAAGTAATGGTTGTTCTGGAATGATCTTATCGAGATGCGTAGACCATACGTCGAGCCTACGCGCGTGGAATATATGGAAATGGGGTCCACAGAGTCGTCGATATTTGAAAAAAAAAGTATTCGAATCCAACGGTTGTAAACAAGAGATCGGGAGCGTTAGAGTGCAGGTGGCTTCCATGTTTATCAGCTGTAATTGAAGCCACGGATTTTGATTGCATGAAGGCCTCGGTTTTCGCACTCTGAAGGTCCATACGTGGGAACCGATTGTTCGCTTTTTCCTTTCATCTTTTTATTTTTCTTTAACTACATAAATTCGATAATTTTATAACGAAAATATCTATGAAAGTAATTCCCGCTCAATGAATCATCCATGAGAAGAGAAAAAAAATCTATTTTTTCATCCAATTATATAGGGTGTTTTGAAAAAAATTTCTTGTTTAAAAATAAAATACCTATTTGAAAAATACTTTGCTTTAAAATCTATTTGAAGTATTGGTATAATTAAATTGATCAATGTAAGAATTATTTGAGGATCACAATTTTCATACATACTTCCAACTTTTAGTGTTTTGGTTGTCTACAATAAATAGAAAACCAAAAAGGAATTACAACACATTTTTCATGTTTACTGGTTTTCTTTATTTTGGCTTTATTCTCATTCTTTAGTTTCTTCCTCCCTTTTGTTGTTTTTTTTTTTTTTTTTTTTTTTCCAACTCAAATAACAATGAGCAACAGTTAAAATATATATATATATATATATATGAATTCATAACTACAAAAAAAATCAATTATATAATGAATATTTCAAAAGGGTAGATTATGATTAGATAAAAAATAATCTTATAATTTTATGGAGTAAACAAAATTACATAGGTTAGATATTGAACATTTTTCAGTCACCATTTTTATAAGCCTTAAAGTTCAAAATTTAAATTCGTACCTAAAATTTAAGCAGAGTCCCACATTTCAATTTTTCTTTAACCAGTTTTTTTTTTTTTTTTTAATTTTTATTTTTGCCAATTTAGGACCATTCTACTCCCCTATTATTTTTATTTTTTAAAAAAAACTTGAGATGTTTACTTTTGAAATTAATAGTAACAATTTAAATAAACTTTTTTTTCGAAGATTTAAATATAAACACATAATTGATAATCAACTCCACAGGTGTCAATAAGAATTTATTACTCATATATATTCTACTTTTTACAACTAAGAAGAAAGAAACAAGATGAGATAGAACATACTTTTATTTATTTTTTAAATAAAATAGCCATTAAAATTTTAACTTTTGCTTTAAGAATTTCTTCAAACAGGTAAGTATCAAACTCGAGACAATAATTTTTTATTTAAAATAATTTAGCTTTTTTAGAAATAAGAATAAATAAGTTTTTTCTTTTAGAAGTTAATTATTTATATACAATCAGGATACGACCAAATAAGTCTTTTTTTTTTTTTTTTTAATTTGGAATTCACGAAAACAACTTTAAAAAGGAAACAAAATAATGCCTAATTTTGTGTTAATTGGTCGTCCAAGTAAAATAATGTATTATATTAAATACAATTTGTACTAAAAAAAAAGAATTTAATTGAAGAGAAAGGAAATTGAATTATTAAAAAATGAATATTATTGGTTGGGATGAAGCAAATGCACCGTGCCTCTCATTCCCAATCTTCCATGACCCTCTTTCCTCTCCACAATGAGAAAAAGAGTGTGAGAGAGAGAGAGAGAGAGACGTGTTCCACTTGTTTTTCACTCCATCCTTTTATTTTTGTATTTATTATTGTTTTTTTAAGATTCTTTTTGTTTTGTTTCTTATTAAATTAAATTACAAATAAAATCTATAAAATTTTAAGTCCAGATAAATAGGTCGGTCGTGTAACTTTAATATATGTGTCTAATATATTTTTAATTTATTTAACAAATAAAATATTCTAAACCTTCAACTTTTAATTTAATAATTTTATAGATAAAAAAAAGTTAAAAGTTTAATAGTCTATTACAAATTAATAGAAAACTAAATAATTGTAATTTATTATTATTATTATTATTATTGATGTTGTTGATTTAAGTCCCAATGCCATCAATTACGTCAAACTCCCTCTGTTTCTACTTTGCTTTATTTATTTATTTAAGTCTAATTTTGATTGGTCGTACAATGGAGTCAAAATTATGAAATTAAATATGTATTGTTAATTCCTAGCGTTAAAAGAGGGGGAAAGATGCTATCCGAATACAATTTCTCTTCATATTATTTAATTGTGTTTTCAATATTCCTTAAGATAAACGTTGGATCTAAATTAATTATTCACTAACCTCTGGAGACGAATTAATTAAACTTAATTCAGTGGATCAATACATAGCCTAAACAGTTAATAAACATAATACCTAACTAGATATGTTTAAACTTTAAACCTGTACTAATAAAATTTTAAAATTTAAAATTAAAATCAGCTTCACACGAATTAATGGTTTACGAGCTAATAATTTATTTATTTAGCTATGTTCTGACACACAAGACACGCACACAAACAGCATATACCTATTTAATAAGGTTTATTTATTTATTAGAAAAGGAATAAATCTCAAATGCTACACATGATGGGCTACTTTGATCGATAAAGAAGCCCATTGATCTGTAGGAGTGGGCTGAGCCCAATGAATGAGCCCATCACTGTGTCGGACTCCAAAAGTTGCAGTCAAGGACTTTTCTTCTTTTTGGGCCTGCATTTACACGTTATCATTTCAACCGTAGTGAGTTAGTTTTAAATTATATATTTAAATGGGATAGATTTTCAATTAATTAATTGAGTTTCAAATTTTAAAATTTCTAATTATACTTATTTAGTCTATAATATATTTATATTTATTTCTTATTTTAATTAAAAATAAATCTATTAAATATAAATTTTAATTTTATATCTAACCAATTACACGGATAATTATTATTCCAATGACGGTATGGAACTAAAAGATTTTTATTTTATTTTAATTTTTGTTAGCATTTTCATCAAATATATTTTATATCTTTGCCTGTTTCTAAGAGATTTCACTTCTTAAAACCTAATATAAACCAAATATTAAAATATTAGTATTTTATATTATTTTAACTATTTCATATAAAATTTTGTTATTTTTATTACTCTAACTAAATTCCAAGGAATATTTATTATTTTGATTATTTATAAATAATAAAAAAATCAAATGACAATTCCAACCTTAATCCATATGCCTACGTTTGCAAGGGAGATGTGAGAGATCCATTCCCATTCGCACAGCCGAGAGTCAATACATGCAAAAACATTTAATCGTGGACTTTAATAAATGAAAATAATAATAATAATAATCCACTTCGTATGATGTAAACGAAGAATCGATTACCATTGCCTTGCAGGGCTGGATGGCTTAGTTGGACTACCAAATTCAATAGGCAATTCTTTCCAGTGCAAACTTGGTTCCCAGTCTGCCTCTTCCAAAACCTTACAAATTTCCTCTGCAACTATCTGGCTCCCTTCTGCTGTTAAATGAATTCCATCCCTGAAATAACCACAAACAACTGATTCAATCCATTCAAAAAGGATCAAAGATGATCCTCCTCTATGAACTAACTACTAACGTGAAGCAAGAAGTGAGCCAGTCATCTCTCTTTTGAATTGCACTCCACACATCTATGCATTTCACGTCAATCTTCTTGCAAAGTTCTTTAC